CGCCGAGGACAAGGTTCATGACGCCGAGACAAGGTTCGTCACGCTGAGGACAAGGTACCTCAAGCTGAGGATAAAGTTCCTCACGCTGAGTACAAGGAAAAGGTTCCTCACGCTGACGATAATGTTCCTCACGCTGATGATAAGATTCCTCACGCTGAGGATAAGGTTCCTGACGCTGAGGACAGGGTTCCTCACGCTGAGTACAAGTTTCCTCACGCTGAGGACAAGGTTCCTCTCGCTGAGGACAAGGTTCTTCACGCTGAGGACAAGGTTGCTCACGGTGCGGACAAGGTTGCTCACGCTGGGGACAAGGTTCCTCACGCTGAGGACAAGGTTCTTCACGCTTAGGACAAGGTTCATGACGCCGAGACAAGGTTCCTCACGCTGAGGACAAGGTACCTCAAGCTGAGGATAAAGTTTCTCACGCTGAGTACAAGGACAATGTTCCTCACGCTGACGATAATGTTCCTCACGCTGATGATAAGATTCCTCACGCTGAGGACAAGGTTCCTGACGCGGACGATAAGGTTTCTCACGCTGATAATAAGATTCCTCACACTGAGGTCAAGGTTCTTCACGCTGAGGACAAGGTTCTTCACGCTGCGGACAAGGTTCTTCACGCTGAGGACAAGGTTGCTCAAACTCCTGTTTGACTGCACTTAATTGATTTTCCCGAATTAACTTGTTGATTTTTTCTTGCAATCGTGTATTTGCTTCAGTATTTCCGTTTTGTATGGCTCTCTCTAAGGTTGCTCACCCGGAGGACCAGGTTCCTCAAGCTGACGATAAGGTTTCTCACGCTGATAATAAGATTCCTCACACTGAGGTCAAGGTTCTTCACGCTGAGGACAAGGTTCTTCACGCTGCGGACAAGGTTCCTCACGCTGAGGACAAGGTTCCTCACGCTGACGATAAGGTTCCTCACGCTGATGATAAGATTCCTCACGCTGAGGACAATGTTTTCCACGCTTCGGACAGGTTCTTCACGCTGAAGGCAAGGTACCTCGCGCTGAGAACAAGGTTTCTCACGCCGAGGACCAGGTTCTTCACGCTGAGGACGAGCTTCCTCAAGCGGAGGACAAGGTTATTCACGCTGAGGACAAGGTTGCTCACGCCGAGGACAAGGTTCCTCACGCTGACGATAAGGTTCCTCACGCTGATAATAAGATCCCTCACCCTGAGGACAAGGTTCCTCACGCTGAGGACAAGGTTCCTCAACGCTGAGTATAAGATTCCCACGCTCACCCTGAGGACAAGGTTCCTCACGCTGAGGACAAGTTTCTTGCCGCGGAGGACAAGATTTATCACGCCGAGGACAAGGTACCTCACGCCGAGGAGAACGTTGCTCGCGCCGAGGACAAGGTTCCTCACGCTGAGGACAAGGTTCCTCACGCTTAGGACGAGGTTGCTCACCCTGACGAACAGGTTCCTCAAGCTGACGATAAGGTTCCTAACGCTGATAATAAGATCCCTCACCCTGAGGACAAGGTTACTCACGCTGAGGACAAGTTTCTTGCCGCGGAGGACAAGATTTATCACGCCGAGGACAAGGTACCTCACGCCGAGGAGAACGTTGCTCGCGCCGAGGACAAGGTTCCTCACGCTGAGGACAAGGTTCCTCACGCTGAGGACAAGGTCCCTCAAGCTGGGCACAAGGTTCCTCACACAGCGGACAAGATTCCTCACGCTGAGGACAAGGCTTTTCACGCCGAGGACAAGGTTCATGACGCTGAGGATCAAGGTTCCTTACGCTGACGACAAGGTTCCTCATGCTGAGGACAAGGTTCCTCACGCTGAGGACAAGGTCCCTCAAGCTGGGCACAAGGTTCCTCACACAGCGGACAAGATTCCTCACGCTGAGGACAAGGCTTTTCACGCCGAGGACAAGGTTCATGACGCTGAGGATAAGGTTCCTCACGCTGAGTACAAGGACAATGTTCCTCACGCTGACGATAATGTTCCTCACGCTGATGATAAGATTCCTCAAGCTGAGAACAAGGTGCCTGACGTTAAGGTTGCTCACCCTGAGGACCAAGGTCCTCAAGGTGACGATAAGGTTTCTCACGCTGATAATAAGATTCCTCACACTGAGGTGAAGGTTCTTCACGCTGAGGACAAGGTTGTTCACGCTGAGGACAAGGTTTCTCACGCTGATAATAAGATTCCTCACACTGAGGTGAAGGTTCTTCACGCTGAGGACAAGGTTGTTCACGCTGAGGACAAGGTTCCTCACGCTGAGGACAAGGTTCATCACGCTGAAGATAAGGTTCCTCACGCTGATGATAAGATTCCAAGGTTCCTCACGCTGAGGACAAGGTTCTTCACGCTGAGGACAAGGTTCCTCACGCTGAGGCCAAGGTTCATCACGCTGAAGATAAGGTTCCTCACGCTGATGATAAGATTCCTGACGCTGAGGACAATGTTTTCCACGCTGCGGACAGGTTCTTCACGCTGAGTGCAAGGTAGCTCACGTTGAGAACAAGGTTCCTCACGCTGAGGACAAGGTTCCTCACGCTGAGAACAAGGTTCTTCTCACTGAGGAGAAGGTTCTTCCCACCGAGGAAAAGGTTCCTCACGCTGAGAACAAGGTTCTCACCGCCAGGAACCTTGTTCTCACTGCCAGGAACCTTGTCCTCACCGCCAGGAACGTTGTCCTCACCGCCAGGAACGTTGTCCTCACCACCAGGAACCTGGTCGTCACCGCCAGGAACCTGGTCCTCACCGCCAGGAACCTGGTCCTGACCGTCAGGACCTTCTCCTCATCGCCAGGAACATTGTTCTCACCGTCTCGAACCTCGTTATCACTGCCAGGAACCTTGTTCTCTCAGCCAGGAACCTTGTTCTCACTGCCAGGAATCTTGTTCTCACTCCCAGGAATCTTGTCCTCACTGTCAGGAACCTTGTTCTCACCGTCAGGAACCTTGTCCTCACCGTCAGGAACCTTGTCCTCACCGCCAGCAACCTTGTCCTCACCGCCAGCAACCTTGTCCTCACCGCCAGGAACCTTGTCCTCACTGTCAGGAACCTTGTCCTCACCGCCAGGAACCTTGTCCTCACCTTGAGGAACCTAGTCCTCACCGCCAGGAACCTGGTCCTCACTGTCAGGAACCTTGTTCTCACCGTCAGGAACCTTGTCCTCACCGTCAGGAACCTTGTCCTCACCGCCAGCAACCTTGTCCTCACCGCCAGCAACCTTGTCCTCACCGCCAGGAACCTTGTCCTCACTGTCAGGAACCTTGTCCTCACCGTCAGCAACCTTGTCCTCACCGCCAGGAACCCTTGTCCTCACCGTCAGGACCTTGTCCTCACCGCCATGAACCTTGTCCTCACAGTCACGAACCTTGTCCTCACCGTCATGAACCTTATCCTCACCGCCAGGAACCTTGTCCTCACCCCCATGAACCTTATCCTCACCGCCAGGAACCTTGTCCTCACCCCCAGGAACCTAGTCCTCACCGCCAGGAACCTGGTCCTCACCGTCAAGGACCTTGTCCGCACCGTCAGGAACCTTGTCCTCACAGCCAGGAACCTTGTCCTCAACACCAGGAACCTCCTCACCGTCAGGAACATTGTCCTCACCCTCAGCAACCTTGTCCTCACCGCCAGGAACCTTGTCCTTACCGCCAGGAACCTTGTCCTCACCGCCAGCAACCTTGTCCTCACCGCCAGGAACCTTGTACTCACCGCCAGTAACCTTGTCCTCACCGCCAGGAACATTGTCCTCACCGGCAGGAACCTTGTCCTCACCGCCAGGAACCTTCTCCTCACTGCCAGGAACCTTGTCCTCACCGCCAGGAACTTATCCTCACCGCCAGGCACCTTGTCCTCACCGCCAGCAACCTTGTCCTCACCGCCAGCAACCTTGTCCTCACCGCCAGGAACATTGTCCTCACCGGCAGGAACCTTGTCCTCACCGGCACTAACCTTGTCCTCACCGCCGGGAACCTTGTCCTCACCGCCAAGAACCTTGTTCTCACTGCCAGGAACCTTGTCCTCACCGCCAGGAACGTTGTCCTCACCACCAGGAACCTGGTCTTCACCGCCAGGAACCTCGTCCTCACAGTCAGGACCTTCTCCTCACCGCCAGGAACATTGTTCTCACCGTCACGAACCTCGTTATCACTGCCAGGAACCTTGTTCTCACAGCCAGGAACCTTGTTCTCACCGCCAGGAATCTTGTCCTCACCGTCAGGAACCTAGTCCTCACCGCCAGGAACCTTCTCCTCACCGCCGGGAACCTTGTCCTCACCGCCAGGAACCTGGTCCTCACCGCCAGGAACGTGGTCCTCACCGCCAGGAACCCTTGTTTTCACCGTTAGGACCTTGTCCTCACCACCAGGAACCTTGTCCTCACCGTCACGAACCTTGTCGTCACCGTTAGGGACCTTATCCTCACCGCCAGAAGCCTTGTCCTCACCGCCAGGAACCTATTCCTCACCGCCAGGAACCTGGTCCTCACCGTGAAGAACCTTGTCCTCACCGTCAGGAACCTTGTCCTCACCGTCAGGAACCTAG